AAGTGGTTTAATGGTGTAAGTAGTGGCATAAGAGTCTAATTGTGTAGATGATCTATATTATAACTAATAGTTTAATTTTCTATGCTAATACCTTGTTATGATAAGAGCACTCAGGGTGGCCAGCGGTCCTTGAAATCCTGGAAAAGTCTTGGAATTTTATAGATCCTGGAAAAGTCCTGGAAAAACACCCCTTTTTACAAAAAATCCTGGAAATCCTGGAACTTTTTTTTATAGAGTTCAATATTCCGTTTTCTTGTTTTCATCTTTTACAAAACTTTACATTTAATTATGTATTTTCTGGTATGATGAAAATATTTTTATTAATTTTACTATCTGTATTATTAATTCTACTAAATATTTAGAAAATAGAATATACAAATAATATATATAACAATTAATATATAATATAACTAACATAACGCCCAAGTCAAAGAACTGTCGTTTCCAAATAGAATGGCTTTACAATAAAAAGTATTCTTCTTGGGTAAAATTATATTTTTCAAAGAAAGCAAGATGTAATTGGTGTCAAAAAATGTTAATATTTCTAACATGGGAGTATCTGCATTAAATTCTCGTGCAATTGGTAAAAAGCATAAAGAGCATGCAAGAACACATAATGCAGCTGATATGTTCTTTACTGGTAGTTTTTTAGTTATTTGATTTGATTTTTTACTTTTTTTTTTGAAAATGTTTTTGAATTTTGGAATGCTTGAAGCAAATTGATTAGCTGTGCACCGGATATTAATTTTTTTTTTGCGCATTTCGTTCCTAGATTTTACTACAGAAGTATCTGGCAATAACTGCTTTTGTTAACTTACAAGAACATTTTCCTAATTCAAAAAATGTTTTAAATGACAAACTGGCACAACCTACTATAGAGGATCTTCAATCTCCAGCTCTGGTTACTAAGGCTGAAATAATAAGGAACTTGAATGTTGTAATGTCACATTTTTCGTTAAGATTGTGCTTAAATTTAAATGAAATATTTAAATCTATGTTCTCTGATAGTATAATAGCATCAAAGTTTGCATTAAGCAAAACAAAATGTGGCTACCTCATAAATTTTGGTTTAGCACCATACTATCGAGAGCAACTTATATCTGCAATCAGAGCATCACTCATCTTTGTTTTGTCATATGATGAGAGTAAGAATGTAATCTTTAAAAATGAACAAATGGACTGTGGAGTTAGATACTGGGGTTCAAATTCTGGTGTTGTAAAAGATAGATATATTGATTCTTAGTTCTTCAGACGCCCTAATTCACAGAATTTATTTGACAAACTTATTGAAGCAACAAAGATCTTGTTATGTATAAAGTTATTTTATAATTCAGTTATTTATTTTACATACCTGTTCTTGTGGATTATTGTCGGCAAGTTAAGGTTGGTAAGTTATGATATCATAAATGTTTGTTTCATGTGCTAAATCCGCATTTAATAATCTTTTTTATCTATTTTTCTCGTTCAAAATTGATTCCTTCCCTAGTATTTTTTATTCCTTTCGCTAGTATTAGACATTTCCGTGGTCTAATCACGGCTGTTTCAAACAGCGTTTTTGTCACTAGCACTTAGCTTTAAAATCTAATTGAACAGAAATGTTCCTCATATTTTTCTTTAACCTATAGTTTTGATTCTTTCATATTTCAAAATACATTTTTTCAAGAGTCTTTGTTATTTTTTTTTTTTTTTTTTTAATGTGCAGTTAAATAACCAAACAATATTAATAAAGAAATACAAAATTTTTTAAACAACTAAAATCAATGTTTAACTAGTAAAATGAAAAAAAGCAAGAGAATTTTTTTTTTTTTTTTTTTTTTTTTTGTAAAAAAGCAAGAAAATGAGCAATATTCATTTGCATGTCGCTTGAAAACTACAAAAGCTTTTAACATAATTTTTTATGCATTTTGTTTTAATGGCCTTACAGCATGTTTGTTGTGATCCGCGACTAAAGTCGTGAAGAATATGACAACATTTTTCAAATTCCTATCAAACTTCGTAATAACTTTTTAATAGTGTAACGCGCCAAATCGCCAATTCAAAGACAAGTCCATCAACTCGTCTAGAATTACATAAAAAAATTAAATGTTTAGTTGCTTGCGTTTATAAGCAAAATTAGATTTTGTAAGTTGTACCCTTTTTTTTTTAATTTAAAACTTTATTTATAGTTGATTACATACAGTAGTTTATAAATACTTTTTTTGTTATTTTACGTCTATTTTTTTAAAGATAACTTGTTTATTCAAACACTCTATTAATTCATCTAATTAATCTAATTAATTGTTTAGGCTTAATTGTTTCTACTTGTTATGACTAAAAGTCAATTGAAAAACACTAAAGCAAACCTGATTTGAAATTATTTTTCAGTTCAAATTATTAATCATGTTTAAAGAAAATGAGCGACATGCAAGAAAATTATTATGCTTCCACCATCAATAAATAACCACTTAAAAGTTCATTTCCCTACCTTGATGCAGCTGGGATAAAGTTAAATTTAAACAACTTAAGGGGTGCTGAAACAAATCAGTATCTAGAGTTAATAAAGATCTAAATTTTACAAACGGAATAATGTTTGAAATGTTTATATTTTTTAAAGATTAAAGATTTCTTTTTGTTTATTCAATCTATTGTCTCAGAATCAACAGAAGTCTTGTCAAGGTAAACAAATTCTAAGAATTTCATGTGTATGGTATAAAACCTATACATCTCCTAAAAGAAAACTTCTAACCGGTTGCTTTGTTTACATTCTAAAGCGCGTGTGCAAAAAACGACAGACAAAACATTTGACCTAAAGCTAAGTAAGCAAAAGTTATGGTGTGAAGTTTGTACAAGTAAACTATGTGAATAGAAGTCTCACAAAGTGGAACTAGCAAAATATGTCAAAATTTGTTAACCAGTATCAAAAAATACTTTGCCAATTTTCAAAACTAAAATAAATTTAAAATTAACAGGATATACTTCTATTAATCTATACTTCTATCAATCCAGCGAAGTTATAGAAAAACCGAGAATTCGTATCAAAATTTACATAAATTAGCATCAAAAGCTGTTGTTTTTAAAAGTATTAGTTGGTAAATTGATGAAATAGAGAACTGTAATGAAACAGGCACTGCATATGAAAATGAGTTTTACTTTACTCCTAAAGATCAGGCTGAACCAATTACTGCTCATAATGAGCCATTGCTTATTAACAAAAGCCAAGATAAAATTACAAATCTCGTCAAAATTAACTTAATACAATAGAAAATTTGTCTAAAACTTAAAGGAAAAACACTTCTTGGAAAATTCAGAGGGCTGGACTTCTTCTGTTTATAAAATACTGAATCTGTTTATAAAATGGGGTACAATGTAAATATTGGTAACCCCCTCACAAGTCTTTATTAGTCAAATATTCTAAAATTGTTTGCCAAAAGATTATTATCTTAAAATTGAAAGCAAAGTATAAACTTTTGAATGCAATGTCTCCACAACAAATAAATCTTTCCATTACTGTTGCAGGTTTGTACATTGATGTTGATTATCCTTAGTGCAAGTCAAGATAGAATTGAAAAATGAAATTGTTATGGAACAGGTATTTTTTAAATGAAATTCTCTTTAATTATAGAAACAGCTTAGAGTTGTGGAAAGATGACCAAAATTATCCCCTTAATAAAAATGGTCTAATTAAAATTAATCACAAGTATTACTATCAAATACAACAACAAACGATGGTAACAAAAACAAAATATTATCTGTTGAAGTAATGGAAGCATGACAAATGATAAACTCTGTATCTGTTATATATTTAAATAAACTTAAAAAAGTTGAAACAAGAAAATTGAATCCAAATCAACTACAGCTGTTCTGCGTGTGTAAATGTTCAAAATTTCTTCTTTTGACTAAATGTATTAATTTTTATTGTCCAGTCAAATGGTATCATTACCTCAGTCTTTAAATAAAAAATGGTTTTTCTCTACCATTTTGCAGCATAAAGACAATATAATAAGCTTTTGTGTAACACTACTAAATAAAGTTAAACTTCTTTTTAAATTGGAAAACATATTTTATGATTTGTTGACAAACCTTTTGTCATAAAACATTTTATAAACGTTGTAAATATTTAAATTTTTAAAAATATTGTAGATAAAAAAAATAAAAGTATATAAATTTTAGTTAAATTACATTTAAATTATTTTTTAACTTTAGTTTGAAACAGACTTATAAATAGCTGAAAAGTTTGATATTATGCAAATTTAGCGACTCACGACAAACATGTAATTGTATTTAAATAAATGTAATTGTAATTACATTTAAGTATTTAAAAAGATTTATATATTCAATTATATATATATATATATATATATATATATATATATATATATATATATATATATATATATATATATATATATATATATATATATATATATATATATATATATATATATATATATATATATATATATATATATATATATATATATATATATATAAACAAAATTACAAACCTTAAAAAAAAAAGAAATATCCTCCTTGCTGAAGTTGCTAAAAAAAATTTTGCTATAGAATTTCTTCAAAATCAAATTGAAGAAATTAATAATCAAAGATTCAATTTAATAAAATATATGGCGGAATTAAGAGTAGAATAACAATTAGCATTTACTTCACTTTTATTAAAAAGCGAAATACCACTATTAGACAAAGATGTTACACAAACATTAATAACATAATAACAAAAGACATAATGGCTATTACAGAAGATTTAAACGATGGCTTGTTTTTTGTATTTTTTTTTAATTTTTCGTCATAACTTTGTTCCTTTTTTTGTTTGTTTGCGTTCATTCATTATTGTTTTATTTTATCCAAGCATTGTTTTATTTTATTTTATCCACTCAATGTTGTTTTATTTTATCCATTCATTATTGTTTTATTTTATCCGCCTATTATTGTTTTATTTAAATTTAGAAACAATAGATTATAGTATTTTTTTAAAACGGTTTGAAAAAATGTGAATTGTTTTTTAGAAGTGGATAGTGTCGAAAATTTAGAGAACCCTACTTATTACAATATGCTTAAAACTCTGCATAAAGTAATTATGGAAGGTGAATTGAGAGCCAATAAAGTTCATCGACGAAAGATTGGGCTTGTAATTCTCTTAGTTCTTTTTGTGTTTATGCCAATCATTTTTACAGATATTTTTTGTTCTATATTTCCTAGTATTTCTACGTTTAGTGGTAAAATTGTTTTTATCGTTCAAATTGTTTCTGCTATTTTTTGTACTGCATATGCATGGATAGTTATAGTATTGCGGCGCATTGATTCAAATTCATTCAAAGACGTCATGTTAGAAATTCACTCTAAAATCATGACAATTGAGAAAAATAATATTAATATAGTATCAATGGAGACGTCAAACAGCAAAAAATATCATTAAATCTTGTTTTTTAAAAAAATATTAAATTGTTTTGATAGCTAATCTTCTTTCACTTGATTTTTTTTTTTTATCAAAAGTTGCAGGTTAGCTTTCCGTAAATTTTAAATATATTTATTCTCTAGTAACGTTATATGGAAAAGCGCTAAATTTTATTATTGATCTTTTCTATATTTTAAAACATCTTAAACATAGAATCTTACTCACAGGCTTTTAATTTATTGGGTGGTTAAGCTAACTTGATTGGTCTTATTATGTTACTAAATATCGTCGCGGTTATTTCACAATTGAATAGGCAATTTTTTCTTTTTTTAGTTTTCTTAAAACATGAAAAAAGATTTAAGATATAATGAAATGGCTGTGATTTTCGATATGTTAAGAAACTAGACAGTTTTAAATAGCGTTGGTCATCTAATTGTTTATGCTAAATTTAATGTATGCATGCACAGATACAAAAGCCTTTGGCTCGCTGTTGTTATGTAGAGTTATATTTTATTGAAAGTACCTAGCCAAATATACTAGTATAACAATAAACAAGAGATTTATTTAATTTTTCAAATAAAAAATCTCTAATCTAAATATATATACGAATAATCAAATATTGAAATATTATTATGAATTATTGTTAAATATTTTGATGTTGTTATAATTTATTAAGTTATTATATAAAGTTTTAATTGTTAATCTTAGTATATTTTTTAAAAATATAAAAATGAAAAATATTGCTAATATTAATTGCTTTATAAAGTATTTTTTAATTTTCCAGAAATTTAAAAAAAAACACTTCTCTAGAATATTTGGACAGGATAAATAAACTTTTGAGGAAACTTTTATGGGGTATTGCAACTTACTGTATAACTTACGAATCTCACTTGATATTACCCCATCAAATTTTTTGCAATCTTTTCTTAAGTAAGTTTACAAATGTTAAAAATCCATGAAAATTTTAATTTTCACGAATTAGAACTAATTCTAATTTTTTAAACTACAACAGAAATATATTTATATAGAATATTTTTTATTATTATTATTAGTTTTAATATTAAATAAAGTTGTTTTGAAAAGTTTATTTGGTAAGAAATAAACCAAAAGCTCATGTTCGATAAGTCGAGATTTACTTGGTGGGCGGTTTTTAAAGCCTGTTTACACTGATAGTTTTTGCTTTTATCAGTGACTGAAATAATTATTTTATAATTTTTAAAGCCGATTTTAACTGATTTTTTTGTTTTAGTAAAAATTAATACACGAGGGGGGAGGGAGGGGGAGTCCAGAGTAACTTTTTAAAGTAATTAAAGGTTCGATTAAACTTATATCAGCATATTAAATCCTATTGAAATTATTATAAAACAGCCGTAAGCCATGATAGAATTAAATTGTTATATGCATGTTTTGTAAAAAAATATTAGTTTAGATTTATAAATAAAAATTTTTATAAAAAATACTTTTGATGAAACATTTAAAAAAATTCCCACTCAAAGTTTTTAGAACTTAAAAGAGAGAAATCAGCATAAAACTCTTGACTTCCTTGAAAACGCTTGCCCATACTTTTTATCATGGTTTTATATATTACGTCATGAACTTTTACTTTATAAGAAGTGAGAATATCAAGAGAAAGTTCAGGTTGGCTCGGACCATCTTCATCAGGAAATAGTTTTTTCTTTCGGATTCTCTTTTCTGGCAGATTACTTTCTGCTTCCAAATCATGTAAATCAAGTTTTTCATTAACTTTACTGACAAAATTATTCGCAACCGCCAATACAGTATCAAATTCTGTAGAATAAGTTTTAAGTTTTTCTGTAGTTTTTGTTACCATGTTATAAGCAATCAAAATGTCCATATTAATTCTTTGCAAATATTTCGACAGTGACTGAAAAATACGTAAATATATCTGTGCAGTTAAAATCGTTTCATATTTCAGGAGTCCATCTTTGAAGCATTTCGCCTTTACACGAACATCAGGTATAAAACTTAAATTTTTTTCCATGTGAAACAATGTAACTACGCGTTTAAGGTGGTATACCCCCTTCAAAATTATCTTGGAATTGAAATATTATAGTCAAAATAAAAATTAAGCCTATGAAAGATCTTATTAAACGAAATTGATTTATAAAATAACAGGTGGTTATGTTGTCATGACAACCACCTATAATGGCGGATATAAGAAAATATGCACATCGCACTGTCAAAAATATCTCAAAATCTAATCGAGTATTTAAAGTAAAACTTGGCCCAATTATAAAAAACAGTTTGATCTATGCAATCTGCCAAAAGTTTTTAAATCTGACTATTAGTTTCCATGTAGCACTACATGGATTATGAAGATTTTTAAATAAGCAATTTTTTAGTGCTGAAACAGCAATATCTCAAAATCTGAAATGTTTTATAATTAACTTTTGGCAGATTGCATACATCATATAAAAACACATCACTGCTGAAAATTTGGTTAAAAACTGATTACTAGAAAATGAAATAACTGTGACGGGAGATTGAAAAATAGAAGTTAGCAAATAAAGACTTTAAAAATTAAAAAAGAGAAAAATATCCAAAAAAATATTATAAAAATAAACAATGTTTGTAAATTTTAGAATTTGTTTGTAACAAAAAATTTACAAACAATGTTTGTAAATTTTAGAATTTAAAACAATGTTTGTAAATTTCTTGGCCAAATGAAAATTGTTAATGCGTTGCTATGGGGGTTGTCAAGGGCGTTTAAAAATGTAAGGATCATTAAAGTTTGTTTTCCTCAAGTTATATACTGAATTTTAAAAAATGGTTTTTAAAATATGATTCTATAATAAATTTTAAATAAAAATAAACAACAAAATTTTTTTTTCAAAATTTGATATTTCTGAGGGGTATACCACCTTAACGTATAAACCAGATTCTGAATTTGCAAATTCGCCTAATATTTTTGTAAGTGCAGCATCCTTTGACCACCAACGTGTTTCACCAATAGTTGAAATCCTGCGATGGTGTTCGTTATTTTGATTTTCCGCCAAAAAAATGTCCTTCCTCTGATATGATCCACGAATAAAAATTGCTACGTCACTCAATAAATTAAATAGTGAAATACTAGAAAGTACGGTACTACAAACATCTGACATAACCAAATTATAAACGTGAGCATAACACCAAACATGTATTTGGTTGGGATTTTCTTTGAACATCTATGCTGCGAATCCTTTGTATTCTCCATTCATGTTGGCAGCACCGTCTGTTGCATTACCGACGCACTTTAATATGTTAATGTTCAATGTACGCAGAGTTTGAAAAATTATAATCGATAAATACTCTCCAGCAGAAGATTCGCACGCAACCATTGTTAATAATCATTTGTAAATTTGGTCGGTTACATAACTAACGACAATTAAGCATTGATCCTTAGTCGTTATATCTTGTGCTGCGTTAACTTTTTTGGCAATGGTTTTCTGTATCAAGCGACATATAATTTGAATTAGTTTTATGATTGTGCTCTTGAAGAAAAGGTACCATGGAGCCTCTCCTAATACTTTCTGTTTCTTTTTATTTTGCATTTTTCTCAATGCAAGTATTTATATGCTCGATTAGGCAGACATCGTATTTACCTACAAGCAACACCATTTCTAAAAAGTTGCCATGATCAAGTGTATCTAGCAATGTGTATGCTGCTTCAAACTCCTGCCCTCTGTAACCACGTTTACCAATCAGCGTTATGATTTCTACCACTCGTAACAATAACTGACGTCGCTTTTGAACTTGTTCTCGTCGTACTGATAATTGTATGGAAAACAATAAGTTTTGAACATTAGATTTTGAAAAATATTGGAAATATGCTTCTGTTGATTTGTTATGGCATGTTGATTTTTCATGTTCTTCTACTCTTTGATGAATGTGTTTTCTATCTGTCATTCCTTTTATAAAAGAGTTTAGTACACTAATCGAAGAAAATGCTAAGCATATTGAACAATATAATCCATTATCCTCCTAAGAATAAGATAACCATTTACGGTTTGTACCATTATGTCGCACAAAAGATTTTATAATAATCAAATCTGCAGCAGTTTGGACTGGATGAACTTCAAAAAAATTTGTTAAGAAGGGTTGATGGTGAAGGAGAAAACCAGTTTATATGTTTTTCTGCTTGGTCAACAACAATATAACAATTTGTTTGCTTACGGTTTCTATGCAGTTAGTGTTTGGCTCTAAATGTGAGCCTCATTTAGCATATATGTTCATGCACTGTTTCTGTCGGTGTTGGTATGTGATTAACATTCAAGCTGACTAGAGCCTGTTCAACGTTTTTTATATTTTCATGAGCTATGCTTGTACTTCACTTTTAGAAATGAAGTCACTTATTTTAAAACATTTATTAGCTGCTGATTGAATCAGTTTTTGCTTTTTATCACGTAATTTGTTAGCTGCTCCCTTTCTTTTTTTGCGTTCGCTCATTTTGAAAATTTTGTCTTTAAAACCATGTTTTGTATAATAAAATGATTTTTTTTAACAACTTTTTTGCTTAAAAGTATTTTTAAATAGTTAAAAAAGTTATGGAGTTTAATACGTGTTTCATAACTTTTTTGCTTTTTTATACCTAATTCCGGACGGTTTTAGTAAAAAGTTTCATAACTCGCTTAATATAACGAAATTATGAAATATTTTAATATTATTAAACGCCTATACCAGACAAATCAAACAATATAAAAATAAAAAATATATATAAAATAATGCAATCATTAAAGATTTCAACTTGAAATTTAACATATCTAAATTAATAAAATAAAAAATAACTTAAATTTGCAACGAAAAAAATAAAAATACTATTTATGCAGAATTTATGCTGATTATTTGAGCTGAAAAAAATTAAATTATCGTTTGAATTAATAAAGATTTCTCTAATTCGATTGCGCAACTATTAAAATTTATGGCAAAACAATTTTGGAAAGACAATAAAAAATTCTCAAATGCCAAAGACGTTAAATCATAATAAAATTGTTGTAACTATATATATATATATATATATATATATATATATATATATATATATATATATATATATATATATATATATATGTATATATATATATATATATATATATATATATATATATATATATATATATATATATATATATATATATATATATATATATATATATATATATAGTTAGTTAGTTAGTTAGTTACTCGATTAAAAAAGAAGTTTTCTCTGTACTTAAGTTTTGTCAATTCCTTAGAAATTTTAAAGCAGTGACCTCTTGTATGATTGTTAACAATTGGAAAACGAATGCTTTTGTCTAATTTATCAACATTATTCATAATTTTATACATTTGTATTAGATCTCCTCTTTGTCTCCTTTCTACTAGTGTAGTTAAGGTTTAATTCTTCGAGTCTTGTATAGGAAAGATTTCGGATTGATAAAACTAGTTTAGTAGCTTTGTGCTGAATTTTTTCAATATAGTCACAATCCGATTTAAGAAATGGAGACCATACCGGAACTGCTAACTCCAGTAATGGACGAACAAAAGTAATATAAAGCAAACGAAGTAACTTATAATCGAAGCAAACAAATGATTTTTTGATACGACCAAGTATTAGATTTTTTTTTTTTTTTTTTTAATTCACCTCCCTAAGGCCGAGAAGGCCACTATAGATGAGGAGGCTACTTGTGGTTATAACCCTCTCTCAACACTTTATATCCGAAACACGAACCTTGACAAACAAGGCTGCTGCGTGGAGAAACAAGTTGAGCGCGGTACTACGAGGGATGCGGTGAGAATTGAACTAGGAAACTCTCGCTTATGAAGCGAGTATTTATATATATATATATATATATATATATATATATATATATATATATATATATATATATATATATATATATATATATATATATATATATAATATATATATATATATATATATATATATATATATATATATATATGATTTTTTATTTTATTTTATAATATTATTTATATATTATAAAATAATATATATTGCACCTTCTAATATCGTGTACAATCCTGTCCGCTTTCTCTATGCTATCTTTCTAACTCGACTACTTCCGTCGACTACAATACCTTTATGTATATATGTATATATATATATATATATGTATGTATATATATATATATATATATATATATATATATTATATATATATATATATATATATATATATACATATATATATATTTATATATATATATATATATATATTTATATATATATATATATATATATATATATATATATATATATATATATATATATATATATATATATATATATATATATATATAAAGAAAATAGAATTAAATGAAAATTTAATTCCGATCAATATTGAATATAACGTTTTGCCAACTAAAGTTCAACGCTGAATCAACGTAAATACAACGTTGAAACAATGTAAAATACAACATTGTGCAAACTAAAAATAAAACATTGGGCCATAAGTTAATACGTTGAATCAACGTAGAAAATATAACCATTTTCCGACTTTAAATAAACGTTTTATAAACATTGGTCTTTAGTTGTTGGCGACGTTGCATGTGTAACCATAATGATATAAAAATAACGTTGGCAGCCGATGTTGATCCAACGAAACGCGCGTCATTGTTCTAATGTTTTAACAACGTATGTGTGCTAGCTGAGTATATATATATATATATATATATATATATATATATATATATATATATATATATATATATATATATATATATATATATATATATATATATATATATATATATAAGTACTGTATTATATTCTCACTATGAGATAGTGGGCATCGACTTTCATTATATTGGCGATACTTATTTCATTGCTCAATATTGGGCGTTGCTCAGTTACGGTTCCGTAATCTCTATTAATGGCCGTTGCCAGAAAGCTGCCAATTTTTTCTTTAATACTTTTGTCAGTAACGATTTCGAAATGAACGAATACAACGATAAACGACTAAACGCAACTCTACAAAATGTTTTTTAAATATCATCACAATATAATTTTGAAATATATAACTTTTCACGTATAAATATTGTAAAGTAATTAGCTTTTATTAAAATTTTATTTATTAAAAGGAAATGGGATGTAGAATACAAATATTGTGCTTTACCTATAACGACCTTGCAGGACGTTTTTGTTTCATTCCATACACTGAGTATGAAAAACATATTTCTTTAGCCATTAGCTGTATTAAGATTGCCGCTGTAAGTTGTTTCTCATCTCCTCCAATCGAAGTAAGAAAGTTCATCTAAATACAATCGAAGTAAGAAAGTTCATCTGATATACAACATAATTAAAGTCAATCACGTATCATATTGGATCATTTGTTTGTATGTTTCATATAAATGTATCATATATTTTAAAAATTAGAAACTTTAATAGTACATGGTACTGCTTCCAAAAACTATTAACTAATATCAATTCACTGATATATACTATTGATTCATAAGGTGTCTTTGTTCCATAATTTTTCTTCTAGATTTAGAAGATCTTTTTTCATCTATAATCGGCAAATAAATTCAATAAATCGAAAGAGATAGTCAAGCAAAGCTCTAATGGAATCACTTAACCCTAAAACACTAAAGATTTCTTCAATCTTTGAGAAACTGAGAGGCAATCTTATCAGTGTCACTTTTTTTGTAACCTGCATTCTTTTAAGCTGGAGGCGCAAATAATTCCGTTCTAAAGCAGTCTTATAACTGTCAAAAAAAAGTATAAAGAAGAGATGAAACCATAATAAACAATCAACATTTACTATATTTGAGTCAAACATAGCTGTTTAGATAAAAAAAAATAATCACAAATAAATTTATGATATAAAAAAACTTCAGATTAACTTTCTTTTTTGAGATTTTTTTTTTTTTGTTTAACTAAAAATATTAGTCTAAAAATTATTGATATTCATTTCTTAATGTTTAATGTAATCGCTTTTTATTGCAAGTATAGTTTAATTATTGGTTAGTAAAAAAAAGTGAATATTAAAGTTTGCGCAGTTTGGAAAGGTTTCTATGATAATATTTTCTTATTTAAATATGACATTAAGGAAGATAAACAACTTGAGGCTCTAAGTAAATACTTACCATTTTGCAATTGTACATTTAATGAACCCAAGATGCATCTAGATATTTTTTTAATGTCGTGACAGATGTTGAACACTATTTCAGATGGTAGACTATTCTACAAATTTATGAATTCCATATTTGAAAAAATTTTTCAGGACATCTGTCTTACAAAACATTTTTTTCAATTTATAAGCATGATCGCATGTTGTTAAGTTGGAGCTGAATAAATACTAACTAAATATATAATTATATATTAATATTAAGAAGTGGCCATATTAACACGCATGCTATTACAACTCAGATTAACTACTTAATGGTCTGTAATTACAATAATAAATATAATGGCTGTGCAGATGACATCATTCTGACACAGGTGTTGTTAGATAAAATACTGAATGGTATTTTATGAGGAAACAAAAGGGTTGCAACTACAATTATAAAGATTGTGAATGCATTTGTAAGTTTCTGCCATGTCATTGCATAAGAAACGATAGCTCAAGCTAGTTAAATTTAATCTCAGCCCAGTGGGCACAGGACGTAAAAAAGACGTCCTTAGGACGTTCAAATCGCGTCCGTCCGTCCCATTAAAATTCTAAACGTCTTTTGAACGTCTTATTCGAGTCCAATAATTTTTTCGTCCAAAAAATATCCAGAATGCTTTATTAAAATAAAAATAAATCAGTTAAATCACGCAAGCTTCAAACTTCATAAAATTTTTAAGTAACGCATTTTTAATAAAGTTTTTTTTCAATTACAAAAGAAGTCTTTTTACAACAACTAATAGACACGTTCCATCTAATTTTTATTTTTGTTATCAATTGAAAATTGTGGTAATATGGTAATACATGTAATGAAATTTTTACAGATAATGAAAGAAACGGTTTAAAACTGAATATATGCTATACTATGTATATATATACTTGATATACTATTAGTATAGTATTGCTATATCAAGAACCAAGTTCTAACAATAAGATTTAGACATCTCATGCAGAATCGAATTTTTCAATAGGAAAACCTGTTAATGATCATGGAACAATTATCCTGATAATTCTTTGAATTCAATGTCTTTACTCGACAACATTATGCTATTTTATAATGGAACCAGTACATTAGTTAATGATCTTCTTGAAATATTGCCAAATCAAGGTTTGGAACTTCCCAGAGATTCAAAGAGAATTTTAAAAGCACTTTATGAAAAGCGACTTATAGACAGGTTCTTGCTAATTTATATATATTTTTTTAAACATTTAATTACTCGAGAATCGTATTAATATTGATACATATATTGAAATTGATACAGATATTGAAATAAATAGTTTAAAACTGGGTATGTAATATACTATATATATATATATATATATATATATATATATATATATATATATATATATATATATATATATATATATATATATATATATATATGTATATATATATATATATACTTATATATATTTCAGTTATATGTATGTGTAGAAATGTATACGTGTGTATATAAACTTTTAACTTTATAACTAACCTGTTTTGCTGTCTTCCTGCTT